CACTGTTACAAAGAAATTCAATCTACATACATACCATGCAATTTTATTTATTTAAATATCTAACAGCTAACTCTATGTTTTTACATTTATATCACCAAAGTCATCCATAACACATTAAACATATAACTATTTTATTTTTTAAAATGTGGAATACACGTTTTCATGCATAGAAAAAATGAAATGTTAAAATTGAATTTTAGGTGTTATATATTTCAATCATAAGAATTTAGTAGTATGTAAATCTTATGTATTATTATTCTTAAATATATTTATGATTTATTAGGTCATCCGATTGAACCTCCCATTCAATTATTGAACCTTGAACCTCTCTTTCTACCAATTCAATGTCTGGTCTGATTTTCAAAACATTGGTTTAAATCACGAGTAAACTTAATAATTGAATGTAAGTTGTAATCTAATTGGGGAAATTATAATACAAAAGAGAATTAAATATCTTTGAAGATTTTCATTTTTCCTTTCCCGACAATCTTGGAGTAACATTTATTGACAAATCTAATAAATTTGGAATTAGTGCACTCTTGGTAGTTTGTGAGAATATGAATATGTCTAGTCACATGATCAAAAAACACCTGAATCTATTATCCAAGATTGAAATCTTCCATTGTTAGCGAAATAGGAAAAGGACATGATATCTTGTGTATTTTAAGTTAGTAAGTCGTTTAGTTGTGTTAGAACTAAACCAACCCTTCAGAAGAGGTAGTAGCATGGGTCTTGTGGTCTTGGTCATACCTCTCTTGCCCCAATTTTCAATTTGCAGGTTTTTCATGTAATTTTCAGCACTGGTTTTTTGTGTGACCAAGTTTCATGTAATGTTCACAAAATGAACGATTCTTCTTTGCTTTTGAATCATAGAAGGAGGTGTGTGTTTTCAGCGCTAAATGAATCGACACTTCCTCCCATGATGAGTTTCTTCCTACTTTCTTCTCCTTAGTCTTTAACAAAGACTTCCCTAATGGTAAGGAGAGGTTTCATCCCCATAATTCTTCATCTAACCTTATCAAAATTCTTATTTAGACCTGATAGGAACTTGATCATCCTTTTCTTCTCTACTATTATTGTATATAACATACAATTTTGAGGGCACTTCCAGACGTAAGCAGGTCATAGATGTGATTATTGATAGTCATATTTGTTTTATAGAGCTAAAGACGACAATACTTTGAGGCTGGAAGTGAGGCGACATCAAAAGGCAGGGCTAGCAATTGAGCATGGTCTTGACCATCCTCCTTCTTGAGGGTGAATATTACAAAAATTAGCTTGACAGGATGGAGAAAGAAGACGTCAAGAAGGAGATCCTGTTAGATAGGTTGTGAAGGTCACTGTCGATGTTTGAAGCAGTCCTCCTTGGAGGTGGACATGTCACGACCTTAAGATGATGGGCAAGGCCGAAGAAGATCATGGTGGTGATTATGAGCAAGGTAGAACGATTCTTGGATTGGATATAGCGACGACATGACTTTGAAGACAATGAGAAATGGATGTAAGCAGGTCATAGATGTGATTATTGTATATAATCACATTTTTTAGGGCACTTCCATACATAAGTATTAAACATACCTAACTATCATTGTATATAACATACAATTTTGAGGGCACTTCCATACATAAGTATTAAACATATCTAACTGTAACCAGTGATTTATAAGTGTGTTGAAATATTGAGTCGCACTTAATTCTTCTTGTCGAAGGTCATGTAATTTGTCTCAATCTCAACTATGCAGTATTTTCAGTAATGGAATAAGTCTCACAAGCTTCTTCCCAAATCTCCTGTGTTGTCTTATAAAGCAAGGAATTTTCTCCAATCTCTATGGTCATAGAATTAATCAACCAAGACATGAACATATGATCTTGGATCTTCCATGAGCGAAAGTTAGGATCGGCGAACTCGGGAATTGTGCCCTCTTTGATAAGATGTTCCTCTTTTTCTTTTTCACAAATAAACATAAACACGGATTATGACCATTGGAGGAAGTTATGACCATTGAGTTTATGGTTTATGATAAAGTGAGAGTTTCGGGATTGTTTGGGCAGAATTCCTAATCTCTGACTTCGAAACAATCTCTAGAGTAAAGCTAGACATTTTCATGTTGTACTTCGTCATAAGCCCTATGCATGTTTAGGGTTGGAAAGCATTCCTGACCAATTGTACTTTATGAGATGAGGAACGCCTATGGCTGCTCTGCTTTCACGCTCGGAAAGGATCAGCTGGGAAGGCAGGAATATAGCAGGATGCAGCTGATATCCTTAAGGAAGAGAAGACGAAAACGATTGAGCAAGAACTACAGGATGCAACTAAGGCAAAACACACCAGAAAACTGTGCGTATGAGATTTGCAAATCCACCTCTCAGAAGGCTACGAAGACGAGGAAGTCTGCGTGTGCACGATTTACACTAGAATGAGAAATCAAACCTCTCATAAATGTGGAAACCTTTGTGTATCGGATTTGCAAAAGAAATAAAAAGTCCACCTGAGAGAAAATCGAGCCAGAGGGAAGGAATGGCCTCCACAAAGAGATGATCGTAAGAGGCATTCCAGAAGGCATGCACCGTACACGATCCGCAAAGAGATGATCTTGCGGAGATCGTCTATAGTGAAGGAGAGCCACGGGGAGAATCTGACAGACAAAAAAAAGCTAGGGTTTCTAGCCCATCTCTGATACCATGTAGAAATATAGAGAAAAGCAAATTCTCTTATTTCTTGATAATCAAATTATAACTCTTCTCCTTATATAATAAAGAACAGTAAGGGCAATATTAATTACAATAATTACAACTTACTAATGAAAACATAACCCAACAAGGAAACAAAGATGACATAATATGAAGGAAATAAAACTAAAAACTAAAATAAAAAACTTAAAATTCCACAAATGACCTCCCAACCCTCCTGTGCTTCTTAAATTGACTCCTCATAGTCGTGCTACCCTCGCCTCTAGTAGGAAGATCGTCCAACCATTCTTAGATGTCATCCTGACTTCTCGACGTCTCCTTCTCCATCCTGTAAAGCTAATTTATGTAATATTCAACCTCAAGAAGGAGGATGGACAAGACCATGCTCAAGTGCCAACCCTGCCTTTTGATGTCGCCTCACTTCTAGCCTCAAAGTATTGTCGTCTTTAGCTCTATCACACAATTATGACTATCAAAAATCACATCAATGACCCGCTTACGTCCATTTCTCATCGCCTTCAAAGTCATGTCGTCGCTATATCCAATCCAAGAATCGTTCTACCTTGCTCATAATCACCACCATGATCTTCTTCGGCCTTGCCCATCATCTTAAGGTCGTGACATGTCCACCTCCAAGGAGGACTGCTTCAAACATCGACAGTGACCTTCACAACCTATCTAACAGGATCTCCTTCTTGACGTCTTCTTTCTCCATCCTGTCAAGCTAATTTTTGTAATATTCACCCTCAAGAAGGAGGATGGTCAAGACCATGCTCAATTGCTAGCCCTGCCTTTTGATGTCGCCTCACTTCCAGCCTCAAAGTATTGTCGTCTTTAGCTCTATAAAACAAATATGACTATTAATAATCACATCTATGACTTGCTTACGTGCTTACGTCCATTTCTCATCGCTTACGTCCATTTCTCATCGCCTTCAAAGTCATGTCGTCGCTATATCCAATCCAAGAATCGTTCTACCTTGCTCTTAATGACCACCATGGTCTTCTTCGGCCTTGCCCATCAACTTAAGGTCGTGACATGTCCACCTCCAAGGGAGGGCTGCTTCAAGCATCGACAGTGACCTTCACAACCTATCTAACAAGGCACACCACCACCCACCGCCTCAAATCAAAC